GAGGGATTCAAACCCCAAGTCTAAGGTTGAGGGGTGCAGTTACGATAAAATATATAGCTATCAAGCCATGAAGTCTAAGTGTGCCTAAATATTTAAGGCTGAAACAATAATAATTAAGAAACTTGATACTTTAAGTGCTAATTAGGAAAACAGATCACTCAAGAAAAGAGACTAGTAAAAAATGAAGGCATTTTTAAACCTTTGTCATTAGGGTACAGATTAAATCTCATTTATTGTAGTGTTTGTAATTAATTTTACACAAATTCTTATATAAGATTTAAATAAAATAAAATATAGAAATATAATATAATATAATATTTTACCTCAAAATCTGTAAAAAAATTATGAATCTAATATAAAAATTTATGTAAAATTAATTAAAAATACCCTAATTATTGAATTTTATCTTGTGCTCTAAAGGCGCAGATTAGATCAACTCAAAAATGAAAATGACTAGTTGAGTAAACGTTACTACTTACCAAGATACAACAAAGGCTGTCCAAGGATTATGAGTACTGAATCCAATATGGGTGATCTCACCACTCTCACTACAATGAGTAATACTCGGGATTTAGAAACAATATTGAGTTTCATAGCCATAATAATGACCTAATGATGATTATATATACAGTGAATAAATCTGTTCACTGATTTTAAAATTTGAATTTAAAATTTTTAACATAAATTTAAGATCTTTTTTTAAGGGATTTGTCTTTCTATGATCAACAGTCAAGAGATTTAAATAATATATTTATAAATAAAAAAAGAACTTAATTCAAATCTTTATAAATCAAAAGCAAGAACATTGACACTTATTGACCTTAAATCATATATGTGCTTTCTAATTCAAATGGTTTAAAAGAAAAAAACGTTGACACTTATTAACCTAAAATCATATATGTGCTTTCTAATTCAAAAGGTTTAAAAGAAAAAAACGTTTATTTGGTTAACTTCCTACAAATAAGAATCCAGAAATATAGAACCAAAACGAAGAAAAACGAAAAAAAGAAAAGAGGCAATAATTGATTCGATGTTATTGCTTAATTACCTAGAAAGAATAATGTCACTACAATCAGTAAGCCTTGATCTTGCCCATATAGTAACCCTGCAATGAATGTTATAAGTTAAAAAGATTACCTTTTAATTAATTCAGAGTACAAGAACCACTAATGAACATCAAGGAAATTATAAAGGAAAATTCTTGGTATACTCTTTAGTTTGATACACCTTTTAACATGTATCCGGTTTAGTCATTAAAATGTAATATAAATATAGATCAATTTTTATATCCTATATCCATAACTACATTTTAAAATTCATCTACCTTGAATTTTATACTAAACACTACTGATTTTTTAATAAATGTGTTATGTAATATATTGAACTGAATAATATATTAATCATTGTTTAATTATAAAACAAAAGCAGGATCCCTAATTAAAAGGAAGAATTTTTAAATTAAAAGTAAACAAATTTAAAGATATAATCATACATATAAGGTATAAAAATTGATTAAATCGACTATACTTACATTATATTTTAATGATTAAACTAGATAAGTTTTGAAAAGGGTATCGAATAAGAGGGTAAATCAATCATTTTCCAAACTAATATGGCTAATTGAGCGGATGTTATTGCTTACCAATATTACCAAGTAACAATAGAGACCCTGCAATCAGTTGGCCTACTACATCCATTTTGTATCCTGCCACTGCAATGAATAAGCTATGGTTAAGATGAATAAGTTTCAAAGCACAAGAACCAAAATTGAACGCAGTTCATCAAATTATAAAATAAGAAAGAAAGAAGATAAACATCCACCGAACTTGGATAATAGATTCCCTTTGATGATAAAATAAAAGAAAAGGTTTAATAACTGTTTTGTTCACTAAACTTTTTATTTGGTGCCAAAATTATCCTGAACTCTTTTTGAAAAACCTTTTTAGTCCCTTAACTTTTTATTTTGGAATGAAAATGATCCTTTTGTTGACAGAAGAATAATGTTAAGTTGCCACAAAATTAATTGTTAAAAACAATATAATACGCAGAAAAAAAAAAAGGACTTTTGCTGACCACATTCACTATTAGAGAACCTTCAATTGATTACAAAATCTCAGTGAGGTAAACATAAGTTATGGGTAGGATTGCCCATTTACCGACGGCATCAATGTTTCTACGTTGCTAAACAGTAAAAGTGCTCAAAATTAATATTATTTAATGTTTTAATTGTTGGTAGAAAGTCCAACCCTATGCATGTGAACACATAGACTTTCCATGTGGTGAATTTCTTCACCAATCTAGCTAGTTGTGGGTTAGAATTGCTTTGTTGAAATCATTCAAGATTGCATGCTGACCCATTTAATGAGCAAAGAAAATCATGGATGGGTGGTAATGAGGCAAAGAAAAATGGTGCATGGATGGTTAGATTTTTCACTATAAATACCCATGCATACAAAGGCAATGGGCAAGCAAGGGTAAGAGTAAGCAAGAGAAGAGCTAAGTGAGTGTGTGCTTTTGTGAGAGAAAAGAAAGAGAGAAATTGTGAGAAAATACTTCTGTAGATTAAGAGAGAGTATTAGAGAGAATTTGGAAATTTATATAGATTGAAGTTAGGGTGTTAAAAGTTTCTTGAGTAAAAGAGTTTCTAAATTATTGTACTTTTTTTCTTAATAGTATATTTATTTTTCTTTTTCCCTTGGACATAGATTTGTTAGGAGGTATACAAATCGAATCGCGTTGAATTGTTATCTTAATTTTTTATTGCTTCCATTTACCTGGGATTGTGGTACTCAAAATTCCCAACACTAATGTCTACCACATTGATAAATTATAAAAATAACGACGTGTCTAAGTTTCAACATTACTCCGGTCATCGCACCAGGCTATACATGCCACTTGCTAAAGGTCCAACTTCTTAACTTTGATGTTAGATGTTCAATTCTCTCATCCCACAAAATTGTAGTGGTTCAAAAGAAAAAACATTTTCCGGTTATCAATAAAAATAATATACCAGTCAAACTCAACCTTGGAGACGTGTAACACGTCGGTATCTATGTACCCATGTACATCACGTCGGTAAGTCTAGGTAGGAATTTGTGCCCCTGCAGCTTTTCAGTTGTTGACCGCCAGATGGTGTGTATAGACCCCTGCAGCTTTGGACTTACCAATGTGAAGCACATCAGTAAGTCCCCAGCAGTGGTCCCTTACACAACCAGACCCTTTCCTCCCCGTCATTCTGTTTTCCTCTCTCAGCAGCAAAACTCACCTTCCTCCATCATTTCTGGCAAGCCAACAAGGGAGTTTTGGGCAATTTTTCTTCAAATCAATACATCAAGCTCGGTGAGTGAGGTTTGAATAATTTTTCAAAGTTTTGTTATGTTTTTTGTGTTGAATCCGAATGATACTTAATTTTTTTTTATTTTTTATTATAATTAGATTATCAAGTATTGTGATCAGCTTATTTGGCTTTAAAATTGCTCAATTTGTTCTTTTGGGTAAGTTTTAGGGACGTTCTCTGTAATTTACAGTGATCAATGGTGAACTCCGGCGACAACATACCTGTCATATGTGTAAGTTATATTATTTAAAATTTTAGTGAAATTTCTATAATTTTAGTGAAATTTCTATAATTTATTTGTATAAATAATTAATTTAATCATTGGTTTTTTATTTAGATATTGAACTTTTTCTTTATTTAAAAGTCGTTTGATTTTCACTATATTATTTTATTTGTATGGTTAATCTTTTATTTTTTGTTAAAAAAAAATTAAAAAATCTGTATATGAAAAATTTTCTTTCAAATTGCATTTGAACTTTATATAACAGATTAGTAACATGTATTTAAGATAAATAATATATTTTATATATTTTTAAGAGTAATTATTTTGGTGAGATTTATTAATAATTTAATATAAAATATGATATATTAATTTATGTGAATGAGCATTAAAATATATGAAAAATATTGTAATTGTTTTTAAACTAATTATATTGTTATTTGGTTTCATTAATTTTAATATAACAAATAATTATAGTTGGATGTATAGACATTGAAATCCTCACAAAAAAATATACGACGAGTTCTACAATGAAGTTGAATTTTTCCCTTAACTTGCATACAGTAGGTTAGGTTTTGGACCTAATGACCCGATTAAATGCCCTTGTGGTAAATGCTTGAATTTGCCATTGACACCTTGAGGAATTGTTTGGGATCAACTTGTTCATATTGGTTTTATGAATGCTTATTCTATTTGGGGGCTCATGGTGAAAGATTTTTGGATTCAACATACATCCATGGTCTACTACTAATCTAGGCAAACACACTGTTAATGCTCACCATTAATGACACAAATGACTTTTGTGAGATGTTGTATGATGCATTTTGTCCAAAGGATGATGACTATGAAAAAAGAGAAACTAATTTTCCTAATCATCCTTTGGATGAGGAACCAAACAATTAAGTAAAGGCATTTTATAACTTGCATCATGCATTCATAATACTGCTTGGTAGTTTTGGAAAAAAAATGAGATAATGCTCAGTTGGGATTCCTATATGTTGCAAACTAAGACTAAAAATAATATAACTAGTTGTGGTTTTGATGCCATCATCAAAGGATGTATGAGGTTATTGAATGTTGAAGATTAGGAATAAGTTCTTGCAAACTTTTATGAAGCAAAAAAGTTATGAAAGGGCTTGGATTGAGTTATTTAAAAAATAATACTTGTGTTAACAACTGCTTCTTATATTATGGAAAGCATACGAATGTGTTGATAACATGTCCAATTTGTGGAGAAGTGAGGTATAAATAGAGAAATCTAGGGAGGAAACAACAAAAGGGCATTCTAAGAAATTCTCTATAGTACTTGCCAATAATACCTTACCTTTAAATGCTATACATGTCTTAAAAAATAGCCAAACATATAACATGACATTTGAAATGTCGTGCCAATACAAATGAGGTCATTCATCTAGCATAATCAAAAGCACAGAGGCATTTTGATTGAATACATTCTTCTTTCAAATGAGAATCATATAATGTTTGACTAAGTTTTACCATTGATGGCTTCAACCTGTGGGATCATTCTTCAATCCCTTACTTTTGTTGACCACTTTTTTAACTATTTATAACTTGCCACCATACATGTGTATAAGGTTAGAGTTTCATTTCTTATATTAGTCATTGTAGGTGCAAAAAGCCAAATGGAAATATTGATGTATTCCTTTGACTATTGATTGAAGACTTGAAAAAGTTAGGTTAAAACTCCTTTTTTGTCCCTTTACTTTAATGAAAAATTTCTTTTTAGTCCCTTTATTTAAGAAAGCCTCTTTTTGGTCCCTTAAGTTTAAAATTTGGCCCCCC